TCCATCACGTTTGCCCTCTTCTGCAGGGAGAACAAAGATAGTGAGATGAGAGAAGTGGACACTTCTGGACAAGACAGTAAAATATTCACAACAGTTATCTGAAGTTCTCAAATACTAGACTAACAAGACAAAGCGGATGAAAACTGTTACATGCTTACTGGTGTGTCCTCAAACTGTATCAGTTACTGGGGTCATGGTTACTTGCATATAAGCACTAAGAAAGTGAATGACGACTTCCGGGAGAACATGACGGACAGATAGCAGCAGTTACGGAGACTCTCTGAAAGACTCGGCTTAGAATTCAGGAATGGTGCGGACTAAGGAGTCATAAGCAGGTGGAGATATGCTCTGCTGACCCAGGAACGAACTGGACTGAGAGAAACCAACTTGGAATGCAGTCCTGGTGCTAGAACAGGAACAGAGGGGCCTCAGTGTGGAGGCTGGAGCCCGCGCCATTGGAAGCCGCGATTTGGGTTTCCCACCACGCGGCGGCTGCATCTACATCGGCTTGGCAGGGAGAGAGACCTGAGAACGGGACTCAGCGAACCGAGTTGAAAACAAGATGGGCAGGGAGCCGTGCATTGACTTGCGGTGAGGTGAGTGAGAGAAACTGACACTCTCCCACAGTTTAATGAGACTCCAGTGGAAGACATTCTGGGACTGGGCAGACTTGCGGGAGCGGGGCGCTGCAGCAACTTCAGCCACGTATCCCCCTCTCAAGCGGGATTGGTGAGAAGTGCCTAGCCTACATGATGCTGCTGGCGGAGACCCAGTGGGCTAGCACAACCCAGATCCCAGAGCCTGAGGGTGGCCTGGAGGGGCGGGCCCCACGTAGGCTGCCTGGTCTACAATTTCCTGGTGTGCTGCAGTGGGTGGGAACACCTAGCCAGTGCAATTTGATCAGGCTGTGGCTGACAGGGAGGGAAGCTGGGCCTCCTATATAAGCTTGCATATATAAGGAACAAAGAATATGGGAAGAGGCAGCAACAAGAAAGGCTCCTCGGCCCCCAATCCTGAGAAACAGGCAATAGCGGATACCGCACCAATAGACATAAAGCGCCATCTAGAGAGCCTCATAGATCAGTTCAGGAATAAAGTTATTAATGACCTGAAGCTAGAAATAAGCAGAATAGTTAGAGAAATGCTAAGCACCACCCAAGAAAAAACAGATGGTGGAATGGAAGAACAGAAAAAGAGGGGAAAATTGTTTGATGGAGAAAATAGAGAAAGCATAGAATACATGAAGCAGGTTCAAAGAGATTACCAGGAAACTAAAAACTTTATCGAAAACTGGCATAACAGCTTGAAAGAAACTAAGGACTATCTGAACTGGAGAGCAGATTTGTAATATGGGAGAATGAAATGAAAAACTTCTTAAAAGTAACAAAGAAACAAACAGCAATAATACAAAGACTAGAAGATGATAAGAGGATCCATAACTTAAGAATTAAGAACATAAAAGAAGAAGTAGGGACACAAACAAATGAGCTACAAAAGCTACTCACAGAAATAATCCAGGAGAATTTTCCTAATTTAGCAAAAGGTAAAGATACTCAGATGTATGAGGCATACAGGACCCCAGCCACCTACAACCCAAACAGAGCAACACCCAGGCATATAATAATAAAAATTCCAGAAATTCAATACAAGAACAGAATATTAAAAGCTGTCAGAGACAAGAAACAGACCACTTACAGGGGAACACCCATCAGAATTACAGCAGATTTCTCTGCACAAACCATCAAATCACGAAGAGCTTGCGGGGAAATGATTCAAGCTTTGAAAGATAATAATCTCCAGCCAAGATTGATATATCCTGCACAACTATCCCTGGAAATTGATGGAAAAACAAGGTGCTTCCAGGATAAAGAGGAACTAGGGGAATTTGCAACCACCAATTCAACTCTACAGAGAATACTGCAGGATATTCTAAAAAAGAAAAATACAAAGAATCCAGAAATAGTGGCAGAGAGGCCACAATGAATGGAGCAGAAAACAAAAAGAAGAAGACAAACTGACAACTAATGACAGAAAAAGAGCTCAACAGAAATGAGGCAGAGAAGATTGGATGATGGAAACAGCTATTTTGGAGAAAATGACGTCTTAATAGGTAATACTGATTTAGTATCATCTTGTTTTGAAGTCTCATCAAGCTTTTGTTCTTCTGTCTCCATTGGTCTAAATAGGTTGTATCTTATTGGATTTTATTATGTACGATAGTATGAGCAAAAACTTCTAAAGACAAGGAGATTATACAGAAACCATTGTTCATTTTCTGTTAGTTGATTCTAAATACCCTGTAATGCTGTCATTCTCTTAAATGGTTTTACATTGTTTTGATATACTTGATGCTACAGTATACGAAATTATACTCAAAGATTTTAAGGAAAGAGACAATATGGTAACTACTTTTATGTCAGGATTATCTTGTGGTGAAACACTATTCTGCTTAAATGGTTATGTTTTGATCTGCACTGTTTTGCTGTTATGCCCTCTTTTATCTCGATCTCCACTTCATTATTTACTTTTTTATTTTTTTCCTTTTAATTAAGGGAAAAATAAATAAAAAATAGCAGGATATATTATAGTAACCCACTTTGACTTTCCATTATCTTGATTTAAAGCCCTGTATTACTCTCACCATCTTGTTTTTGACTGATGTCCCCCTATTCTGTTTTGCTTGATAGTACCAGGTTCGAAAGTTTAGGCAACAGCTGTGAAGATAGTGAGATTCATTATGACGCCCATTCTCATTGACTTTTATCTACTTTTGAAGACCTATAATGTCTCCAATGTTTTGGTTTTGTCAGTTTTGTTCTTTACTGTTTTGTTCAATTTTATTATAACTGATGATATAGGCAATTCTATTAGAGATAGCGGGAGGCATTATGGTAACCATTGTTGATCACCTTGTATTATGCTTTTACATTATATATTATGTCCATCCTTTTGATTTGATTGACACTGTTCTGTTAGGTCACATTTGGTTCTACTCCCTTCCAAAAAACTAATAAGAACTGTGGGAGCAACAAAACCCAAAATGTGTAATTGTCATTGTACAAAAGAGAGGAAAAGGAAGTGCTCTAAACAATATAATTGCATGTATATTTAAGTGTATAAGATAGAAAATGATATCACTGAGTTTTATTGGATCATTGAACAGAACTGTTTGCAGTCTCACTGTTGGAATGTCCACTTTACAAGCTTTAATTTTGTGACTTGAACAATTATTTCTAAGATGACAATATGTAATCCATTAACTAGTGATTTCCTACTGTTTATTTTTTTCTGTAAATCTGTATAACTTGTACCCTTTCTCTGCTTTTTTTTTTCTCCTTAAATAAAATTTAAAAAAAAAAAAGCCAATGGCCTTCTGAATTTTTTTTTTTTCTTCATCTGTAAGCCTTTCCAGGGCCTTGGGACATGATAGCCCTGCCCGTGGGGCCTGTCTTGGGGTTGTATTGAGTGCTGAACTGTGGGAGTGTGTTAAATATCACGTGCCAGTCTCTTCCCCTGGTGCTGAGTGGCAATGTGAAAGGAGTTTTCACACTTCTTACTTTTCTAGTTGGAACCCCAAGGTTCTCTAGAGAAAGCAACTGAATCTGAGAGTTCAAGGTCACCAAGGTCCTCTTTTCAGTGTCTGGCTCAGGAGGAGAGGCATGGCCACCTGCTTCTTTCCCTGTGCAGCCTGTGGATGAAAAGCTCAGTGAACGGTATGGTTTATAGGTAGGATGTGGATAGGGTTGGAAGCAGGTTGTAGTGGATTAGAGCTGCCTTCCAGCTGGGGCTGGGTTCACCCTTTCCTTCCCTCATCATGCACAGAGGCCCAGGCTTCCTGGGCTAAGCAGGCAGCAGCTGAGTAAGTTTAACCCCTCCATGAAATTGCTTTCCAGTATCGTTACCAAGAATGGGTTTCCTAATTTGAAGTGGGGAATTTTGCCAGCGTAAGTAGTTATTAGAATCTAAGGCCAAGTTGGCGCCTTTCCTCCCTCCTGAGGTTACAGGGGCATGTGCCTGTTTTCCTACTCCTGCCCTGTCTCCAGCGACCCATCCTACTGGGTGAAACTGTGTGATTATAGAGCCTGGGGAGGGAAGGAAGAGAGTCGAGGGTGGGCACTGGACAGCAGGCAGACCTGCTGTAGAAGCTTCACCTCCTGTTCCTTGCCCTGCAGTGAGGTCCCCATAGTTCCCAGGCCTGTTGGTCCTTCCCAACCTGCATGTATGTACCAGCACCATCACACTTCAGTTCACATAGTTCTCTTCTCGAACACTCAGCCTTTTGTGTGCTAAGCCCTGGGCCGTGCAGTGTGTTCTTGAGCTTATGTGTGAGAGACTGTGTGTGTGTGAGTGTGTGTGTGTGTGTGTGTGTGTGTGTGTGTGTGTGTAGTACTGGGGGATTGACCCTAGGGCCTTAAGCTATATTCTGGGCCTTTTTTATTTTCATTTTTTATTTTGAAACAGAGTCTTGCTAAGTTACTAAATTGCCCAGGCTGGACCCAAATTTGCAGTGCTCCTGCCTCAGTCTCCCTAAGCTCTGGGGTTACAGGTGTATGTCACCATTTCCCGCCACATGAGTTCATTTGTACTCAGACTCTTGGAGATGGAAAGTGTTATTCTCCACAACCATGGAACTTTCCTAAAGACAGACTCTTCTTTCAGCTCCAGAACTGAGACTCCTAACCACAAACTCTATGCCTGTCCAAATTCTGCTTCATTGTTTGTTCAACAAACATTTACTGAGCATTAACTTTGTGCCAGGCCCTTTAAAACGAACTGAGTCCCCTTCTATCAGGATCAGTGTTTTGGCTGTCATTTGTCAACCTCAGACACCCCTACCCTCCCTATATTTCTGAATGTAAGTATGAAAAACCACCTCAGCATGGCTGAGGACCCAAGTGCTAGCGAGGATTCAGAAACGGCACTTCCCCATCTCCAAGGCAGAGGGGCTCAGTGTTGTGCTGTGGGCAGGGCTGTGTCGGCTGCCAGTGAATCATAAACTCCTGCCCTGTTGCTCAATGCAGGGTAGGGTGTATCCGTCCTCCAGTGCTGCCAGCTCTCCAGAGACACTGCTCTGTACAGACTGTGGTTCTGTCGCTGGGGAATCAGCCCATTCTCAGCTCTTCATAGTCTGTGTCACCATCTCACCTGCAGAACATGGATCAGGTGAGCACCAGTTATTTGGAGGCCAGGTGCTAACCTGTTCCTACCCTTTGTGTTCCTCTTCATGACAGCCAAATTGGCATCTAAGCAAAGCAGCCCATTTCGTAAAATGTCTCATTGTGCGGGGGATAGAATTCAGGGTGTCAAGCATGCTAAGGCAAACACTTTACCATTGAGCTAAATCCCAGGCCCAACCAGCCCATTGTTAAAGCCTTCTTGAGCTATCAGATTAGGAGATTAAACTTAATAGAAAAAATACAGCTTCTGAATTATAACCCTGGCCAGTGGCATCACTGTAAAAGAATGTGGGAGTTGGCAAGAGGGCTACTAAATGCAGGTGCAGTGTGGGCTGTCACAGCAGGGCTCTCAAACTGGGGACCTGTGGAACAACCCTTTCTGTTATTGTGGGCATCTGATGCTTGTGGATTGGCTGTCGGGCTACAGTGAAAGTAAGGTTTGTGATTTTACTGATGGGCTTGTGAGGGGATTGGGACACTTGCCATCAGGGTGAAGGTCTCTCAGGTGAACTGGCTCAGGGTGTCCAGCTGAAAGACAAGGTTGCTGGTCATGGGGCCCTCCAGGTAGAGGCTGGCCTGTACATTGCCATAGTGGGCCTGCTGCCATCTGAGGGGGGTTCCACTAAGGCTCCCCAGTGGCTATCTGGAGTTGTGCATGGGTCAATAGCATATCGGACTCAGTGGCAAGGATGGTGGAGGAGATTACTCATCAGCCCCAGTCTGGTTGTGAAGCCAGAGGAGCAAAGTAGGTATGACTAGGCTAGAAATGGCTGCAGATTGGCCAGAAATGAGGTGGCACCAGAACTGGAAGGGAAAGAAATAGGAAAATGCTGGGCCCAGCAGTCAAGCCCTGTGATGTGGGGGCCAGGTGGGGAGCCACCCAGAAAGCCCTGCTCTCCAGTGTCCTGGAGACCTTGCCCAGGCTGTTGTGAGTTTGAGTTTGAGTTGTGGGGTGGTTGCTTTTTGTCCTCCTGTGGCCACTGCCCAGCTTCTGTTGTGTTACATGGTTGGGTGCATTAGTGAGGGAAGGCAGATCCTGATATTGAGAGGGCTCAGGGTGCAGCCAGGGGCTCAGGAAACCTTAGGGTCAGGTGCCACAGCTGCCCTGGAGTCCTGAGGAACTGCATGCTATCATAGCTCCTTTCTGCTCTCCCCTAGCAGCTTTGTTTTCTAAGGGAAATGTGGCTTCTGCACAGGGCGACTTCTCCTAGGAGGCACCCTAGCAACTTCAACAGGAACAGAGTCCTCCGCCTCCCAGGCTGCCAGACTGGGGAGCTGGGCCTGAAGCTGTCCGGAAATTAGCGGTTGCAGTGGGTTTTGTGATTCACTCACATTTGGAAGCACTCCTGGAGCCCCACGTCCCAGCAGGTATCTGCCAGCCTCACAGTGAGCAGAGAATGGAGGAACTGTGTAGACACAAAAGAGCTGAGGATGGTCAGATCCCTCTCTTGCCTCATGCTGCAGAGTGACCCTGACTGTCCACAGCAGCAGAGGGGGAAAGGGGAGATTAGGGAGCTGTCTATGCAAAGCAAGGCCATGTGCAAAAAATGAGCAGTTCTAAGGAAGACTGTGTTTGGGGCCTTTCCAGTTCACTATTTCACTTAATCCTCAGCACAGAGACAAAAAGCAACCTTCCCAAGGTCACACAGCTAGCATGCGGCTGAACCTAAATTCACACCTGGGTCTGTCTAAATAGAGGCACCAACAGCTGCCTCTATTTAGAGCAGAGACATGGTTAGGAGCTGTAGCAGATGACAAATGCTTCACTGCCTAAGAGCTTGGGCTGCATCTTCATGGATAGAAAATCCTTAACAGGAGGCTGTTAAGACAAAATGTGGAAGTAACAGCGGAAGTGGGGAGGGGGCAGGGACTGGAAGGAGACATGGGTAAGTCAGTCTCTGAGCCTGTGCCCAACTTCAGAAAGATCCCAGAATATCCCCAGAATACCCTGCCCTCGAGAGGTCTCTCTCCTGCAGGAGAGGCAAGAGAGGGCTGCAGCAGTCAGCAGGGCAGGGCCACACTGCAGTGTTTGGTCCTTCTGGGGATCCTGGAGGAAACCTTCCTGGGGCCTAGGGGAATGTTTTCTGCTTAGCAAATGTCCTGGGTGTTCCTGAGTGCTCTAGTCTTAAGATAACTACTTTTTAAACAAGTTGAAAATAATCAAATATACTTCTCCCTAAAATAAAACTGGGTGTAATCCAGACCTCTGGGTAGCAATACGGAGGTCTCCAAACCTCTGGTTCCTTTTGGCCACAAAAGTGGCCCCAGGCTCAACCGAAAGGCATTGGCAGCAGATGGCCACATGCCTATGCCTTCACCATTATGTGTAATTTCCCCTTCTGGAAGCACTGTTTTTCTTCTCTCTTTCTTTCCACTGTGGGCACTAACAAGTAAAGATGACAACGAAGCCTTTGTCGGCACAAAATGCTTAGAGAATTATTACTATGCTGGTGACAGCGGTGGTGATTGCAATAAATTGCCACTGAAGAAATTGATAAATTGCCACTTTCTGCAGCCATTATGATGTTTGGCTTTGTATCTGAGGAGTCAACCCCCTGCCCCCCCTCCACACACACACACATACACACACAGCAGTCTGCCCTGTGTTGGATGATGTTTATTCATTTTATGCATCCTGGGTTCTTTTGGCTGTCCTGAAGTCTGAGCTACTAATTATCCCCAGCCCCAGCAAGGTTTCCTCCCTAAACAGGAAGTCTCAGGCCAGAACTGCTCTCCCTCAGTGCAGTCTCTAACCAAGCATCAGTCACCCGTCCGGTCAAGTCCCTGCAGCCAAGTGGAGTACAGCTGAGGGGGAGGCAGCCAGGCTGCCCAGGGCCCTGGCAGGCCCGTCGTCTTCTGAGAAGCCAGAGTCAGGCTGGATGCCCGTTGGGGATCTGAGAGAAGCAATGGCCCAATTCACACTGCAAGGGACCAGAGAGCCTCTCATTGGCCAGATGTCACACCTGTCTGTTGGTGAGTCCAGTTAGGGTACAAGCCCATGTTTGAGTGATATAGGAAGTGGTGGCTCCTCTCTTTTCTGCTGAGTCCAGACAACTGGATGGCTCCCAGAGGGCTGTGCCGTCTCAGGACCGGTAGCAAAGAATGCAATATGATGAGGTTCTTGCAAAATAGAGAGGGAAATTATCTCATCTACACAATTTCATGACCTCTTTTTGAAGGATGGGGGTCCAGGCCATTAAATAGTGAGCTTTTTCAGAGTAAAGTATCCAAAGATTTATTGTACACTGTGCCTGCAGGTAGTGAGAGCAACAGCTTTGTGGATTCTGGTTTGTGTTGTTTTTTTTTAAAAAAGTTAATGTTTATGATGCATTACTGTAGATTGCAGGCCTATTGGGAATTGTACATTTTAGTTATTGGTAACCATTTCTGCGTTGGTTTATTACGGAACTGCTGCTGCAAGTAATGGAACCGGATTTTTCTAGAATGATTTGAAAACCTAGATGTTTGTAAAAAGCTCTATAAATTATACATTCACTTTTATTTTGCAAAGTGGTGTGGGGATAAAACTGTTTTTCCATCAGACAGAATGTGTGTGTGTGTGTGTGTGTGTGTGTGTGTGTGTGTGTGTGTAGGCATATGTGCATGTATTGGCTTATGTGTGTATGCCTAAGCTTTCTATCTTCTCTTTGGTGGGAACATATCCGCTTTCCTTTTAAAAATATAATGATTTTTTTATGATGTCTAAATAATGATTCCAGGCAATATTACAAGAAATGTAACAGTAAAATGTTTGTAGGCATCCATCAGAGAAGGAAAATGTCCACAGAGAAAATAGAAATGCACCAATTAAGATGTGTGGCTGTCACCCAGCTCTTAAATTCTGATTTGACACTGGCGTCCTCTGTCCTCTCCCCTGCTGTCAGCTGTAGGAGGATAGGGGTCAGGCAAGGAGATGGACATGAGGACCTAGGTCCCCAAACCTGAAACAGCAAGGCCTGGGGTAATGAAAGCTGCCTGAGGCTTGGCTTCTGGGATAGAGAGCAGCCACAGATTTGGACAACAGCCCTAGAACCAGCTCAGTAAGGAGAAGGGTGAGCTGACTGGAAGAGAGTAGGCATGAACTTTGGGCCCACCCAGTGACCACCCATGGTCACACTGGCACACCCATGTTCACACTGGCACTCCCATAGTCACGCTGGCACACCCATGTAAGAACCTATTCACCCTCATTACCTGGGAGACATCTTGAATGCAGGTACTGGGCAGGACTAAGGTACTGTGGACCCAGGTCAAGCCAGAGCCAACCATAAGGTCTTATGAAAATCCTTTAACCTGCCTGGATTCAGTTTTGTCATCTGCGGTGGAAGTACTGACAGCCTTACACAGGTCACCCCCCAGCACACGCACACGACCATCACCTCTCTGCTTCAGGGGTCTGAGCTGGCCTCCTGGTTACTCCTGGTGACAAGTATGTCCAAGCACTGACTGGTCACACCTACTGGAATGTGCTTGTCCACTGCCTCGGTGAGCGAGACTGACCTTGTGCCCCAGGAAAGCTCTGAGTTTCTACATTGGACAGTTACCAGGAATTGGGAACTAGGGAACTTCCCTGACAGTTGCTTCTGTTTGCATAGAGGGCAGCCCTGGTTTTTATGTAGATTGTGCTAACAGTCCCCAGTTCACAATGGTGCAACTTGAAATTTTTAAAAATACAATAATGAAAGCAATGTGCATTTAGTAGAAATCATACTTCAAATTTTGCTTTCTAATTTACAAAGACAAGGATTTATTTTGGTTCAGTACTTCAAATTGTGAAACTTGATCTTTTCCTGGGTTAGCCATATTCAGTATGATGCTCTTCCTTAATGCTAAGCAGTAGCACGGAGCTCCAACTCCTAGCCAGGCCCTCAACTATGCAAGGGAAACGACTGACACTCTACAGTGTGCTGTGTGGCAGCGAGGCTGTTCGGGGTGGGGATTGGAGAGGAGATGAGTCTCATGCATTTCCAACTTATGATATTTTCA